TGGCTTTGGAGTCAGAAAGACTCACCCTTCTAGGCAAGAATGCCGGAAAACTATACTGCGTGATATTCCCTGAGATTGGGGTTTGCCATTAACAGCCTAGAAAAACGAGCTCATTAAGGGGTATTCACGCCGGCTCTTCCCCTACCCCTTTCCCAGTGGCTGCAAGAGGAGTCAGCTAGGGGTGTAAATCCCACGGTCTTTAAGAGGTCTTGACCCAAACACACACACACTGCTAGTGCCTTCCCTATGAAATTATTTCTCATTTCTGATAGATAGATAATAGATAGCTATATACATATGTGTCTTACAAGAGATATGTGTAAAGCATAAGATATAGATATAGATATAGATATAGATATAGATATAGATATAGATATAGATATAGATATAGATATAGATATAGATATAGATATAGATATAGATATATGTAGCTCCCATTCTTTGTTTCTGGGTTGGTTTTTTTAGGCAATTTGGCTTAAGTGACTTGCCCAGGGTCACACAGCTAGTGCATGTCAAGTGTTTGGTCTGAGGCTGGATTTGAACTCAGGTCCTCCTGACTTCAGGGCCGGTGCTCTCTCCACTGCGCCACCTAGCTGCCCCCTTGTAGCTCCCATTCTTACGTGAGCTCCTCCAGAGCAGGAACCATATTTTTGCCTTTCTTTGTATCCCCAGGGCTTAGCACAGTACTTGGCACATAATAAGCTCTTCATAAGTGTTTGTTGACTCATTGATGCCATTCCATTGATGCCATGCCACTCTCAACCCCCCTTGATATCAACTAAGTTATTCTAAAACTACATTGGTTAGGGCAGCCTATCTTGTGAATGATGTTATGGGCTATGCCTGAACTTTTTTTCTCCATCATCTCTTATGGTGCCATCCCCAGGGTCTCCTACAATATTAGGAACATTATTGACATGCCAACCGGGAGGGGCTGTGCTCTGGTGGTGACTTTGATGGAGTGTAGGAGCCTGATGTTTGAAAACTAAATTACAGGAAATGTGTGGTGCCCTCCCAGGAGGCAGATGCTGTGACATCAATGCTAAGCAACAGAGGGGACAAAAGCCGTACAGGATAAATGAAGAAACTCAAACACTTGAAAACCAAAAATGCTCTTGATGAAGACTTTTAAATAGTAGCTTGGCAATAAGCTTCACGATCACCTAGCAGGGCCTCTGACAACACGACAGGCCCACCGCTCACGGGATAAGCTCACACCACCAGGCAATAGACCAGAACATCCTAGGAGCTAAGGGATGTGGGATCCAAGAGCCAGAAAGGATTAAACGATAGGCAAGTCTACAGTCCATGCAGCTAGGGACCAACCGACATAATTGGGCACCCTGATATTGGCAGCACAGGGGAATACAAGGCATGCCATGAGCCCTGGGTCACTGACACTCAGATTTCACTAGTTCTGTGTCCCTGTAGGAAAGGGGAGCCTACAAATAGGTGGCAGAAAGTAGAGAAGAACCTCTAGCAGTGAAGCAAAAGCCTCTAGTCCCCAGCCCATTAACATTCTAGCGTGGCCTGGGCCCAGTTTTTAGACATGAATGGACCTGGAATATTTGACTCCTTTGTGTAGGCAATGGTGCATTGATGGAAGATATGGGCAGTGATCTTACACAGGACTCAGCTGAGATGGGCAAAGTCCCACCAACTCCACCTACACTGATATCAAAACAACGATCTTGAGTCCAAAGTTGTAAGAGGTAATGAGAACCCAGAATAAGGGGTGATTTGGGGAAAGAGCAGATCAACAGCCTTCCAGCCCCAAGGAAAGGGTTCAGTCTAGCCTTGTGTCTTAGAAGATGGAAGAGAGCCACTTATCAGAACCCTGAAATTCAGGCTTCTCTGTCAAGAGACTTTGACAAGGACTAAGGACCTGGATGAGAATTTCTGGGATGGCAACAATAGTCTACTTCCCAGCCCCCATGTGGTTTGGTCTAGATTTTCATAAAAGGTTATGAAGACCAACCTAGTCCATGACAAGCACCTCAGACAAGGGGGAGGGGAGGTTCACTCAGCTGAATTAACTCATTTTGTCCTCAGTCCAAGTTCTTGTTGAATATTCCCCCCCTGCTATGGCTAATTAAATTCCCCATCAGTATCTCAGTTTGTCCCAGCATTGAATTGAAACCACCAGGGCACTGACCCAGAACAACTGGTTTTTTCCCCAAGTTGTATTCAGCACTCGGAGAAGATCAGTCTATAGAGAAGCAAAAGGTAGAACATTAGATAAAATATTGGACCAGGAAGCATTTAAGAAAGCATCGATACCTTTCCTGTTTATTCTAGCTGAAGCTAGCCAATTTCTTCCACGAGTCCAAGCCAAAAAGGCCAAGGATTAGAGAGAAGAGGCCAGAGCGCTGGGCCAAGATGGGGGAAAGCAGAAGTAGTTGTTCCCTGCCATCTTTAATGAGAGTCAGGAAGTGGAGTCGGGGCTGGGATTGCTTGAATAAGGCATTTTAAAGACAAGCCTGAGAAAAGGGATGGAGAGCTGCCTAGCTCTGGGAGTGAGGATGCATGGAGTGCTTGGAAAGTAGGACAGTAATATAATTGGAAAGGGCAGGCACCATGTGGGTGATTTCAGTGAGTTATGTGGGAGATCCAGAGAGTAAGGGACTTGGGGGGTATCAGCTGGCGAAGGGAATGATAGCAAGGAACTATTCTTCCTCTAATCTGAGGAAGATTATTGGGGGCAGGGAGCAAAGCCTAAGGCTGTGAATTGGGTTTCTACTGCATGCAGGAGAGAGAAGAACCATGGAAAACTATAAAATCCCATTCTGTCTGTACAGACTCTAAATCATGGGTTTCTGAGCTCCTCAGTTCTCTTTTAAGAAGAGATTGCCTTTTTAGTGGGATATAGGGTCACCTAGGCTATATAGGACATGCATCATTGCATCAGGACATTCCTTTTTGGGTGGTTCCATTTCTTCTTCTTCTTCCTCAGTCATGTCCAGCTCTGCATAACCCCATTTGGGGTTTTCTTGGCAAAGATACTGAAGTGGTTTGCCATTTCCTTCTCCAGCTCATTTGACAAATGAGGAAACTGAGGCAGTCAAGTGACTTGCCCAGGGTCACACAGTTAGTAAGTATCTATGGCCAGATTTGAATGCAGACCTTAACCCTGTTTGTCTCAGTTCCTCAATCTGTAAAATGAGCTGGAGAATGAAATAGCAAACCACTCTAGTATCCCTACCAAGAAAATCCCAAATGGGGTCACAAAGAGTCAGACACAACTGAAAAATAACTGAACAACAACAACAGCTCTCTGACTCCAGGTCCGGTGCTCCATCCACTGTGCTACCTAGCTGCCCAATTCCATTTCTACTGCCCTTGAATTCCATTTATCTTAAATGCTCATATTTACCGCTGATTTCAGTTAAGCTTTAAGGGGTTTCAGCTTTAGGAGAAATGGCATTGTTGCTACAGCCTTCATCTATACAACTAGTTATAAGACCATAGAAGAAACCCTAGGAGCCTTCCAGTTTATTTCCATCCTTTTACAGGTGAGGAAACTGAGGCAAACAAAGGTTTAAATCACTTGCCCATGGTCACATCTAATATGAGTCAAAGGCAACATCTGATCCTGGGTTCTCTGGCTCCAAAGCTAATACTTTCTCCACTGTACCATATCTATTACTGAGTATGTTTTCAAAAGGTTTTTTTTTTAGGCAATTGGGGTTAAGTGACTTGCCTAGGGTCACACAGCTAGTAGTGTCAAGTGTTCGTCTGAGGGCAGATTTGAACTCAGGTCCCCCTGACTTCAGGGCAGGTGCTCTATCCACTGCTTCACCTCAATGCACCATTGTAAAGTTATTTAAAGTGCTGTCAGGCATAGGGAGATAAAACTTGGGGGTAGTTTTCCCACCACACATCAAACAAGAGTCCTAAAATGCAGCAAAGTCAGCACTGGAAGATGTCTGCAAGAATCCTCCTTAAGATAAATAATACTGGAAAAAAAAAACATGATTAACCAGTTAGTTATTCGATCGTTAAGCATCTATTAAACATCTACACTGTGGGCCATCTAGGTCTGAATTAGCGTGAAGAAAGAATCTGGTAGGTGGCCATGAGGATTCAAATTCACACCATTTGAAGTTATAATTCTTTAAACTATGGTTATTGATCCCAGTCCAATGGAAATTCTCAGAGGGAACTGAAATAATGTGACTACTACACAGGATTCATTATTCACATTCATCAGGACCCAGCTGACTAAATAAATGTGTGTTGATTAATTGGTTTATTACTACTGCGGCCAAAGCTAAAATTTGGACCATTGAAGGTACTTTAATAATTGACAGTTGCTTGTTTTTTTTTCATATCCTTGTTTTTCCTCCCATTTGTTTTTCCTTACAAGAATTTTGAACTTAGATTCTAACCCTATAATTAAATTAATAAAAAGGGATTAATTTCTAGGACATGCTGATAAAATCTGGTTGAATGTCCCAAGGAAAAACTGAACCACTCAGTCCAGTATTGTACAATTTTCATGTATGCAAAATTAACTATTTAAATCACTATTTGCTCTATAACTGCTCCAAATGATTCCGTGTTAGTCATTCAACAACATTTGTATGCCAGCCACCATGGTAATCACTGAGTATACAAAGGAAAGGAGGCAGATAGTATTACTGAAGATCTTGCAAGCAGTTTGCCAATTTTGAATTCTGGAAGTTCTTCCAAATGCCCAATTCTTTTTGTTATCTTCACAGTGGTGATACAGGAAGTCAAAACTATTGTCTGCTCCATAATCAATGTTAGATCAGGATTTTACTATATGTGACTTAATAACTGTGACTGAATAACTGTATTATAATATGGTGCCACCATATATACTTTATTGTTTAATCGACCCAAAAATCATATTATAGATCTATATGTACATAAAACATATGTATATCAAAAAATATATATCAAATGCTAACGTCAAAATGAAGATTTCATAAACTCTGCCAATATTCATGGGGGTCTTCCATTTGATTGTTTTAAAGCCGGTCTCTGAAAAATGGACAACAAAAATGTGTTCAGACAGGAATTAGTGGATGTTAAGGGAGTCCCCCTCTTCTGGACCATTGCAGAAGCGTGGTCAGAGGTAGAAGGATTTGAGGCCAGACCAGATGATCTTCTCATCTCCACCTATCCCAAGTCTGGTGAGTTCAGTCACTTCACTAAGACCATTTTTATTTATTTGTAAAAACAATGTGCTACTGTGGTTTGAGAGCTGGCCTCCAGCTCAGAAGGCTGGTTTAGGTCCCATTTCTGCCACATACTGCCCATGTGTTACTAAGCCAATCACTTCATCTCTCAGTGCTCTGCATCAGAGGTGTCAAACATTCAGTCATCAGGCATATATGGCCCATAGCTCTCCAGAGTATGGTTGGAACCTAATTAAAATGGAGTTCCTATCTGATTTTTATGCGTTGATGTGTTCATTTAAATATAGATATACATATAGATATATTACATGTGTATGTATGTGTTGTTCTAAGTCAATACGCAACCCACAGAGATCCTCATGTATGGTTTAGGGGCCATTTCTATTTGAGTTTGACCTCACTGATCTAGACAACTATTTAAAACTCTAAATGATTTTCCTAAAGCTCAGATCTCCCTAATCAATAAACTCCCATGACTCCCTACAACCTCCAAGATCAAATGTAAAGTGCTCTATTTGGCATTCAAAACCCTTCATAACCTAGCTGCCTACTACCTATGCAGTCTTCTAACACCTCGCTCCTGGTTCCATCCTCTTTGATCCAGTATCACTGGCCTCTTGGCTGTCCCATCAAGAAGATGCTCCATCTCTCATTTCTTGGGCTTTTCTCTGGCTCTCCCCCATGCCTGGAATGCTCTCTCTTCTCTTCTCTACCTGCCAGCTTCCCTGGCTTCTTTTAAGGACCAACTAAAATCCCATTTGTTACAGGAAGCCTTTCTCAACCCCTTTTAATCTTGTGCCATGCCTTTCTTGATTATTTCTTTATTTCTCTTGTAAATAGCTTATACGGATTTGTTTGCTTGTGTCTCCCCCATTGGATTGTGAGCTCCTCGAGTGCAGGGATTGTCTTCTGTTTCTTTTTGTATCTCCAGCACTTAGTACAGTACCTGGAACAAAGTGGGCTCTCAATAACTGTTGATTGATTGATTGAAGATGGTAAGTTGCAGAGAAGATGACAACCTGCATCCCCTGGGATCCTTTGTATGCTAGCATCTAAACTTACTTTTACACAAATGGCTCCCACCCACATTTGGTGAATCACTCGATTTAAAAAATTGAGGGGTTCTTAACTTATTTTTTTTGGTGACAGAGACTCCTTTGGCAGTTTCATGAAGCTTATAGATCCCTTTGCAAAATAATTTTTTTAAATAACTAAGGAGAACGCTAGTTTTCAGTCCAAGGTTAATGAAAATAAAGGTGTCATTTTTCCCCTACAAAGTCGTGAACCCCCTAAAATCTATTCACAAAACAGGGTCTATAGATCTCTGATTAAGAACCCCTCCTTTAGATGTGAACAGACAGTTCTCAGGTAAAGAAATTAAAGCCATCTATAGTCATATGAAAAAATGCTCTAAATCATTATTGATTAGAGAAATGCAAATTAAAACAACTCTGAGGCACCACATCACACCTATCAGATTGGCCAACATGACAAAACAGGAAAATGATAAATGCTGGAGAAGATGTGGGAAAATTGGAACACTAATGCATTGTTGGTAGAGTTGTGAAATGATCCAACCATTTTGGAGAACAGTTTGGAACTATACCCAAAGGGCTATAAAAATGTGCATACCCTTTGACCCAGCAACAGCACTTCTAGGGCTATATCCCAAAGAGATCAAAGATATGGGAAAAGGACCCACATGCACAAAAATATTCATAACAGCTCTTTTTGTGGTGGCAAAGAATTGGAAATCGAGAGGATGCCCATCAAGTGGGGGAATGGCTGAGCAAGTTGTGATATATGAATATAATGGAATACCGTTGTGCTATAAGAAATGATGGACAGGTTGACTTCAGAAAAACCTGGAAAGACTTGTATGGTCTGATGCTGAGTGAAGTGAGCAGAATCAAGAGAACTTTGTACACAATAACATTCACATTGTGCAATGATTGATAGTGATAAACTTAACCCTTCTCAGCATTACAAGGATCTAAGACATCTCCAGAGGCCTCATGATGGAAAATGCTGTCCACATCCAAAGAAAGAACTATGGAAGTCGAATCGCTATTTTTTTCTCTTCTGTTGAGTTTTGTGTCCTCTTTCTGATGGTTCTTCCTATTGGTTTTAATTTTTACTTACAACTTCACTAACGTGAAAATATGTTTAATACGAATGTAAATGTATAGCCTATATCAGATTGTGCGCCGTCTTGGGGAGGGTGGTGGGGAGGAAGGGGGAGAAAAATTTTCAACTCAAAAGCATATAGAAGTGATTGTTGATAAATCAAAATAAATTAATAAATTTTAAAATAAAAATATAAAATACAAAAAAGAACCCCTTCTTTAACTCTACTAACTCTTAACTGAGTTAAGTAGATATGAAACCAAACCTTTCTTGACTGAAGACCAATAAATTCTACATCTTTTTTCTGCTCTGCAGTCATCAAAACAGCAATGACAAACACAAATATCTCACAAGCTTCATCTTAATTAGTCAAAATGGATTATAAATTCGCTTGTATTTAATTAGCAAATCCGAATGGCTTTGTATCTGCAATGCTAATAACTTGTCTTCTCCAGTATTGGATACTTCATTTGATTGTGAAAGGCCTTAATTAATTTTTCTATTTTTTCCAGACAATCCCCATCTGGGATCTCAGTGATACAGTCAAAAGAGCACTGTACCTGAAGTCAGCCAATCTGAATTCAAACTCTAGCTCTCTTCACCTTGGGCAAATCACTTTACCTGCCTGGGCCTCAGTTTCCCCATCTGTAAAATGAACGGGTAGCACTAGAAGATCACTAAAACCCTGTGCACCTAAACCTATTATCCCTTTCTATGTGTCTCTCACAGCTCCTCCTCCAGGACCTTTCAGTCTCCTTTGCTGGGATACTCAATCAGCAAATACTTCTTCTGGGTGGCATGATGGCTTCTAGGTGGCAGGACATGGAATGAAGAACAGCTGAATTTGAAGCCTGCATCAGATGCTTACTCCCTGTAAATGGGGTCTGGAATCAGGAAGCCTCAGTAGATCCCTCTGCAACATTTCATCAGCTCCCCTTTCTCTCCCCCTTAACATTCACTTTCACCAGATTTCAGCTGCTTACAAATCTCATAGGGTGGGGCACACAGCAGAGCCTCCCTTCCTAGGCTGTTGTGAGGACATTAATGAGATAACGGTTGTAAAGCATTTTGCAAACCTCCAAGCACTACATAAATGCTGGTGTTGCTGTCCTTGTTACTGTGGTTGTTGTCGTCCCACGCCGCACTCTCCAAGGGATCGCCTGCTTTTTTCACTCACATTGGTAGAATGTAAGCTCTTTAGGAGTGGGGATTCCCAAGTGCCTGGCTCATAACAGTCATCCAAGTTCTTAATGATTGATTCTTACGTTTCCCATAATTTTAGTCTTCTACTGTTTACGATATGACCTTTTATATCTAAGTCATGTGTCCATTTAAAGCTTATCTTGGTATAAGGTATTGGTCTAAACCAGGGCTGCAGAACCTGTGGCCTCGAGGCCACATGTGGCCCTCTAGGTCCTCAAGTACAGCCCTTGGACTGAATCCAAACTTCACAGAACAAATCTAAACCTAATTTCTGCCAGACTGCTGTCCAGTGTTCCCTGCAATGTTCATCAAATACTGATCTCTCACTTCTTTAGCTGTGGGTCTTTGGGTTTATCAAACACTACATTAGGTTACTCTGTTCGTTTGCGTTTGTATCTCATGAATCGAATCTGTTCCACTGATTGACCTTTCTTTTTCTTCACCAGGACTAAAACATTTGAATGATTTCTGCTTTGTAGTATAATTTGAGATCTGCTACTTCTAGGCCCCCTTCCTTCCCACTCTTTATTTTCCCATAAATTTATCACACAATTTCCCTCATAATAATAATAATAGCTAACATTTATATAACATTTGCTATGTGCCAGACATGGTACTAAGCATTTTACAATTTTATCTTCACAACAACCCAGGGATAAGTACTATTATTATCCTTATTTTACAAATGAGGAAACTGAGGCAAACCAACATTAATTGACTTGTCCAGGGTCACATAGCAAGTAAGTATCTTAGGCAGGATTTGAACTCAGGTCCTGGTGACTCAAGGACCAGTGTTCTGTCCACTGAGCCACTTAGCTACTTTCAGTTCCCTTGTGTGAAAATGTTTTTTTTAATAATCATGTTTCCATAAAACTAAAATAAGTCTTTTTCTTAATTTAAAAATCTAATTTCTGTAATTTTTTTTTCAGGTACCACTTGGGTCAGTGAAATCTTGGATCTGATCTATAACAATGGAGATGTGGAGAAATGCAAACGAGATGCTATATTTAATCGGGTCCCTTTCATGGAACTGATAATGCCTGGATACGTAAATGGTATTTTAGTGAATGTGTCTTTATTTTAGAACAAATCAGCATACCCATACACTTCCCATCATCTGTAGAGCAGACATTCTGAAAAGTTATGCTGGAAAAAAAATCTGCAAAGCTAAAAAAAAAGCATAGGAAACTAATCCAATGTAATCTGAGTAAATAACAAATTATAATAAGCTGGTCATCAGATAATAGCAGTAAACTCTCTCCCTTCATTATGCAACCTCTTGGTGGCTAAGGGGGCAGTAAGAAGAGAAGCAGGAAACATCATTTCACTGGCCAAGAAACACATCACTCCCTAAGTGCAGATCTAAAGATTTTTAGAGCTTTGATCAGATCCTAATGGAAAATCTTGAATGGGCTTATGAAGCCTTCCCTAACTTTGTTATAGAAGGAAGCTATCCCCAGGAGTAACAAGAACCCAAGCCAAGTCTTTGTTTCTCAGCAGACCCTTCTCACATAACAACATCCTCCCCCTTGCCTTTGTTAGCCATGGTCAGCCATTACTGCCTAAGGCTCTCCCTCCCACTAAAGGTCTTCCTGACCTTTCCAGGTGCTGTCAAAACTTGTCCAATTACCTGTTTCCCAGTTAAATAACACAAAGGAGAGACCACTAAACTTAGCACGGGAAGACTGAGTTTAAAGTCTGCTCAGACATGTCTATGATGCTGAGCAAGTCTTGTAACATCTCTCAGCTTCAGTTTTCTCATCGATAAAATGGGGATGATAATATCATCTCTCTCAGGGGGTAAAGCAGCAAATGGCATAATGTATATCAAGCACTTTGCCAATCTTAAAGCTACTCTGTGGCAATCATCCTATGTCTAAATGTCTTGCTCTTTCATTTGAAAAGCAGCTGCCATAATGGATTGAGCACTGGACTTGGCATTAGGAACTCTGGGTTCAAAGCCCATTTTGACACTGGAGTCAATATGGATCAAGTTCTGACCTGTACCGCTGTGGAACCAAAAGGAACTCAATCACACTGAACCTATTTCCTTTACCAGAACAGGATAATCATGATGACGCATTTAATATTATATGTTTGAGTCGTGGTAAGATAAGGGTCTGACCAACCTTAAAGTGTTAGAGAAGTTCATTCACTCATGAGCAATCAATTTCCCCATCATTTCTCCATCTGCAAAATGGAATTGATAATGACTTCCTCTAACCACCAAATGGTGGCATGTTTAAATATGAGTGAAATATTTATTGGTGAAACATATAAGCTCCTAAGGGAATTGTTTAGAAAAATAGCTGAATAAATAATGTAGAAGCCAAGTAGAACATAAATTATTAATATGTGGATTTGGATATATATATGGCAGCTAGGTGGCTCAGTGGACAGAGTGCTGGGCTTAGAATCAGGAAGACCCATCTTCATAAGTTCAAATCTGGTCTCAGACACTTACTAGCTGTGTGACCCTGGGCAAGTCACTTAACCCTATCTGCCTCAGTTTCCTTACCTGTAAAATGGGGATAATAATAGCACCTACCTCAGAGGGCTGTTGTGAGGATCAAATTAGATCATATCGGTAAAGTGCTTAGCACAGGACCTACATCGCTGGCATTTGTTTCCTTCTTTCCTCCCCTGATGAAGATCAGCTCTAAGAGGCTGCTAAGTGACACAGCAGATAGAGCACGGGGCCACGAGTCAGTAGGGTGTAGATTCAAATCTGACCTCAGACACTTACTAGTTGTATAATCTTGGGCAAGAAACTTAACCCCAGTTGCCTCAAAAAAAAAAAAAAGAAAAGAAAAGAAAAGAAAAGAAAACATCAGCTCAAAATCTAAACTGAGACTTTGGCATTTGCCCAGAGCATGGAAGGGTTAAATGATTTGCTCATGGTCACATAGCTTTTATACATATGTATGTATATCTTTATTAGGCAGAACTTGAACCCAGCTCTCTAGCTCTTCCTGACCCTATCCAACTGAAATATTGCATCTCCTAATATCATTTGCTTATTTAATTTATTTGCTCTTCTCTTCTCTTTATTTCTATGGCACAAACTAGGGCTCTTGACCCTCTGTCCCCCTGCCTCCCTCAGAATGCAATGACTCTCTATAGATCTACTGGACAAAACTGTGCACTTTTCTATGTAAAGTTTTCATGAGATGTGTGTGGCATTTGGCTAGGTTTGTATTAGCTAACTAGGACCAAACATGCCTGGGAGGCTAATGGCACTATTTAAACACCTTTATTTCTTGCTGTGGGCTGTTAAGGTTTTGTAAAGCTGGTTTGGCCCTAGTTTTTAGAGTTAGAGTACTGGCCTTCAAATCCTGTCTCTGGTACTTATCACCTGGGTGAGCCTGAGCAAGTTATTTAAACCCTTGGGGTTTCAGTTTCATCTGTAAAATGGGAGTATTTTACCTCTGCACTCCCTAAACCAAATGACCTCCATGTTGATTCCCGCTCTAACCTATGATATGGTTTCAAGAGAACATGCTGATGATGACTTGGACCACGGTGAAACTCCCCCACCATGATGAGGCACCACTGATCCTCACCAATCTTGGTTATTTCTGCACTTACAGGCATAAAGCAATTGGAAGCACTGAAGTCCCCACGTCTGGTGAAAACCCATCTGCCCGTTGAGCTCCTTCCTTCTTCTCTGTGGAAGAATGACTGTAAGGTAATCAACTCTAAAGGAAGGAGAAGGCTGAGGGGGGAGGCTGGCCTTCTCCAGACAGGACTTCCACCTCCCAATGGGAGAGGTATTTGTTTCCCAGGGAGGAGATAATTAGATAAGATATTGTCTGCAGGGACGCCATACCGGTAATCAGAGACTCACAAATCAGAGGTACAGAATTTTACTAATGGCTATCATTTTATATATCACTTTAAGGTTTACAAAGTACTTTACAAATACTATCTCATTTTGTCTTCATAATTATGCTGGGACGTATGTCCTATTATTATCCCCATTTTGCCAATGAGGAAACTGAGTCAGAAATTAGAAGACTTCCCTAGGGTTATACAGCTTCATCTGGATTTGGACTCAGCTTTTCCTGACTCCAGATCTACTGCTTTATCTACTGGGCCACTGATCTGCTTCCCTTCTTAGGGATTCTCCTGCAATGAGATTATGTTTCTAGGTATACATGTGACATGATATTGCAGTATAACACAGTGGGAAAAAAAAGCTGTCATGTCAACAAGCCCTTATGAAAGTTATTTTTTCCCCCAAAGAATGCAAGTTCCTTTAGGATAAGGTTTTCTTCTTTATTTCCTTACCCTGTGTATCCCTAACCCTAGCACAGTACATAATACACAGCAGATACTTCAGAAATATATGAATGAATTAATTGAATGGAGTCCATTAAAGAGTAAGCATCCCTCACTGGAAAGTCCCTTGATCACCCTGGCTATTGGGCCCTCTTGCCAGTCATCTCATACACTCCTGAAGAACTGATAATCTGAAAGCACAGGTCTAATCAGGTCACTCCCCCATTAAAGAAGTTTATAGGATCCCTGTTGGACCCTAGAATTAATATAAATTCCTTTACTTCACCTTTGAAACCCTTGAAAACCTATCTCCAGTCCACTTTCCCAGCCATAGTACAAATAATTCTCCTTCATACACTAAGTTCCAGTGAAAGTATGTATTTTGCTGTCCCAGGAGCTGAACTCCCTGTGTGACCCTGATGGAGTTCATTCAGCTCACTTACCCTCAGTTTCCTCACCTATATAGTGAGGGAATTGAAAGGTCCTTTCTAGACTTAGATCTGTTCTCCTGTGGTCTTCTATTTCTTAATTCTTATGGGTTATCAGGCTGTCTCCAGTGGTTGGAATAAATTTCCTCCTCACTTCTGCCCCAGTGTCCATAGTTTGATTGAAGGCTTAGCTCAAATTCTACCTCTTATAGAATTCCCCCCATTATGAATCCTCCCTATGAAAGTTGCCTTGTACTTGTATATTTTTTATTTAGTTTTCTTGGTATTTCATTTCTCTCCCAAAGGAATGTAAGTTTCTTAAAATCAAGGGCTATTTTGGTATTATCTTTGTATGCCTAGCACAGCACCTAGCAAATAGTAAGTGACTTGCCCAGGGTCACACATAAGCGTCAAGTGTCTGAGGCCAGATTTGAACTCAGGCCCTCCTGACTCCAGGGCCAGTGCTCTATGCAGTGTACCATCTAGCTGCCCCACAAAGTAGAAACTTTATAAATACTTGGTGAATAGATGAATAAACGGTTTTAAAACTTTCTATAGTAGCCAATTTTCACGACTTCATACGTAAAATGTAATCAACACAGCATTTTCTTTGATGACTGCAACGCCTTAATATCATTCTTCTTATACAATAAGAGTGCCCCTCACTGAAGTAGATGGGAGTGAGCTAAACTACCTTGGGCCATCCCCAGGGACATTTTTGGCCCACCTGAAGGACTTGGTCTTTGAGATGGTAATGCAACACCCTTACTGGCCACTGAACAGGAAGAGCTGCCCACTCAATAGTCATTATTTTTTTTTTTTGGTGAGGCAGTTAGGGTTAAGTGACCTGCCCAGGGTCACACAGCTAGTAAGTGTCAAGTGTCTGATCTGAGAGTGGTTTTGAACTCAGATCTTCCTGACTCCAGAGCCAGTGCTGTCTTCACTAACTGCCCCCTCAGTAGTCATTATTTAAAGGGAGAGAGAACTCCTGCCCTCACTCCCTAATTCCCACAGGAAGTCTCAGAGAGAGTTCCAAGGCACACACTCTTTCAGGAAAACAAAAAGTAGAGAGTAAAAGCAGAAGTTGTCTCTCTTTTCAGCTCCACCCTGAATGTTCCCATGGGGCTGTGATCTTGTCAGAGCACATGGGGAAGGAAGACATGGAAACCCCTATTACATCAAAATATCCACACAAAGTCATTGCAGTCATCAATAAATTGAGTTTATTATATTGTACTTAGAGCTAGGTGACTTAAAGGATAGAGCATTAGATCTGGAGTCAGGGAGATCTGAGTTCCGGTCCTTCCTCAGACACTAGTGGCTTAGCCCTGGGCAAGTCACTTACCCTTTGTCTGCCTCAGTTTTTCAATCTGTAAAATGAAAATAATAATAATACCTACCTCACAGGGCTGTTGTAAAGATCAAATGAGAGACTATATAAAGAGCTTGGCAAACTTTCAAGACATATAGTGTTGTCTATTATTATTACCAGCTAAGTCATGAAAATTGGCTGCTGTATTTTTAAAAATCCAACCATGAAGCTTCAAAACTCAACAAGCTGGTATAGAGTGCCTACTATGTGATAGGTGCCATACCAGGCACATAAAAACAAAAACAAAACAGTCCCTGCTTTCATTCTCCAGGGGAGGAGGGAGGGGAGAATGACATGTAAGGAAAAAGCTAAATATTTCATGTTCAAAATACCAAGTAAGTCTCGCCATTCCACAGAGCAACAGCTTTTTTGTAGTAGGAGAAATATGCTATCATAGAATCACAAAATCACAGGGAGGAAAGGAATTTTAATCAACTCATCCACTCCTCTCCCAAAGCCTGAGCCTTATCTATAACATCCCCAACTGTGGGTATATGCCAGAAATATTTGGGGTTTTTTTTTCATGGAATCTCTGATGTTAGGTTTGTATTTTTGTGATTGGCTTGTTTCTACTAAAGATGGAGTACAGAAAAAGATTCTAATTGAAGGTTATAGTTTAATTGGATGTTGGTTACCTGGAATTTTTTCATAGTACAACATTCGTATTTCTGATGACATAATTTCTTCCTAATTAGAAGCTATACATGCAATGGTGTTCTGGTGAATGTTTAACAACTGAGCCCTAAAGGGCACCTGGGTGGCTCAATGGATAGAGTGCTGGGCCTGGAGTCAGGAAGACGAGTTCAAATCCTGCCTTAGATACTTACTAGCTATGCAACTCTGGGCAAGTCACCTAATGCTGCCTCAGCTCCCTCATCTGTAAAATGAAGTGGAGAAGGAAATGGCAAGACACTCCACTATCTTTGCCAAAAAAAACCCAAATGGCATCATGGATAGTTGGACATAACTTAAACAACTGAACAACCCCAGGGGGAAAAAATGGTAGGGTATGTTTAAGATTAAAGGCATTATTAAAATTTTCTCCACCACCTTCTTAATTATAGACAATCAATAAAAGAATAAATCAAGCCCTGATTTATTTGCCAATATTTGAGGTGGAAATGCTCACACTGAAAATTTAAATCAGTTCTCTGAAGCCAATTCGAGCTGGCTCCAACACATGCCTGGAGAACTGAAAGTGTTGCCCTCACCCCTCCATGTTGTGCTAATGCACAGCTATGCAGGCCCTATGTTAGAGGACAGATGTGGAGGCCTAGATCTGAAAGTAGGAAGGGGAAGCATCTGTTCTAATAATACAAGTGCACGTTACTGAAGTCACTTAATTATCGTCTTGTAAAAGAATATGAACGAAAACCCACAAAATCTTCCATCTCTTCCCACAGATGATCTATGTGGCACGGAATGCTAAGGATGTAGCTGTCTCTTACTACTATTTCTACAAGATGGCAAAGATGCACCCAGAGCCTGGTACCTGGGAGCAGTTTCTGGAGAGTTTCATGACTGGAAGGGGTAAGACTAGCTATTCATTGGAGCTCAGAACTAAAAACAAGAAGTGTCCTAGAACACACAGTGAGTGCTTAATAAATGCTTGATGACTGAGTGACTGAATAAGGGCACATGGAGTTCACAGTGAATCAAGATGTATTGACTGAGGTCCCTTTCTCTACTTCCTATCCTCTTAGACAGCCGGTGGCAGTGAATAGAATGCTGGCTTCAGTGCTAGGAAGACTTAAGTTCAAATCCATACTCAGACACTGCATGACCTTAAGAGGTTACTTAACCTCTCTCAGCCTCAGTTTCCTCACTTGTAAAATAGGGCTAATAATAGCACCTCATTCCCAGCATTTTCATGAGACTCTTTTAAAAAATATAACATCTGGGGCAGCTAGGTGGTGCAGTGGATAGAGCACCAGCCCTGGAGTCAGGAGGACCTGAGTTCAAATGTGACCTCAGACACACAACACTTACTAGCTGTGTGACCCTGGACAAGTCACATAACCCCATTGACTAGCCAATGCTTTGCAAACCTTAAAACACTACATAAATGTTGTTATTATTATTATTATTATTATTACAGAAATGAAGGAAAAAAACAGAGGTGAACATGATTAAAAGAATGAACATTTTATGGTATCCCTTCCAATACAAGAGGTGTTTACAAATAATCAGAACTTATAGATCATAATTTTTCAGAATCATTTGCCCAAATTCATTCTCATTACCCTAGTGTAGCCCCAAGCTTATGGCAGAAATGTTTCAAAACTCTCCTAACTTGTGTTCCTGACTCCAATCTGCACCTTTTCAAATCTACCACATTTTCCAATATTTGTTTTTGTTTCAAGTCTTCAGTTCCTACCGAATAAAGTGGAGATTGCTTGCTCTGTTACAAGGGAAGGACTACATTAATTATCTTACCCACCTAAAAGTAATTACCTAACCTTAACAAATTAGATTATTGTTGTTATTGCTGTTCTACCATTTTCCATCCCGTCCAACTCTATGTGACCTTATTTGGAGTCATCTTCACAAAGATGCTAGAGGTGTATACCATTTCCTTCTCTAGCTCACCTTACAGATGAAGAAACTGAGGCAAAGAGTTAAGTGACTTGTCCAGAGTCACCAGCTAATGTGTCTGAGGCCAGATTTGAACTCAGTCTTCCTGATTTCAAGCCCTTCACTGTATCCACTGCAGTGCTACCTCACTGCCCCAACAAATTATGTAAGAACACCTTTTTGATTGAATCACAAGAGAAAGGATCAGGAACAAAGCCTATATACCTCCCTGAATTCCTCAAAGCCCACTGACTGAGAGACTGCTTATGCCCTAAGGAATTTGTATGAAAGGAAGACATGATCTCAGAACCTGAGATTCTAAGGGTGTGGATTCAAGAGGTATCCCAATGGGATTCCATTCTCATATAATGGCTTTGATTGATTCATGGAGGTGAACGGCCCCGTACATTGATTCTGGTTGTCAATCAAAAAGATGTTCTTACCTAACAAAGACAACTACTTTTAATTGAGTGGGATAATCAGTGGAGCCCTATCCTCACACTGACATTCAAGGCACTGTACAACCTGCCCTAGACAATCCCTCCAACCTTCAAACTTCTCCTCCATTAAACACGTATCTACTCACTTCCTCCAAGGCTGTCTTAGTTCCCCCTTTTTACTTTTGCTCATGATTTTCTACCTGCCCAACATTTCCCCCCCCCATCTTTTCTTATGATGTAAGTCCTATGTGTCCTTCAAGGCCCTGCTTAAGTCCCAGCTTCTTGCAGAAGCTCATAGATCCAGAGCTGGAAAGGACCAAAGAAGGCGTCCAGTCCAGCTCCTCTACTTTAAAAAAAGAAACTGAACCCCAGAGAGGTAAATGACTTGTCCAAAATCACACAATAGGCAAGCGGAAGATGCAGGATTTGAACCCAGGTCCTCTCATTTCAGATCCCCAGTTCCACATGATTTCTCCCTTCTCTGAACTTCCACTTTATCTATTGTTTTGACAAGGCATTTTGAACTTCCACTTCCTTACTTCCCTTCCTAACATCACTCATCGTTTTTGTGTAGATGTCCTTTAGATTGTAAGTACCTTGAGCAGGGACTGCTTCTTTTTTACAATCTATCTTAGTGCCTTAGTTGTATAGGTACTCAGCATATTGTATTACCACAGCAGAATGTAAGTTCCTTGAAGGCAATTTCCTTGTTGTTTTTTCCTTTATATCCCTAAAATTTAGCAGAGTTTTCAACAAACTCGGCACTTAATAAATGCTTCTTGAATTAAAATGGATAAGATGATAATGGTGACAATAACAAGAAATGTGAGTGGTTTTTAAAGGTCTTTCTTTCTTATAAATCCTTCTTTTTCCCTGAATGTCTTATGTTTTGTAACCTAGTGAGTTTTGGTTCCTGGTATGACCATGTGAAGGGCTGGTGGGAGAAGAAGAAGGACTACCGTATCCTCTACCTCTTCTATGAAGATATGAAGGAGGTGAGATAAAGAGAACCTTCTTCCACATGAAAGAAACTCTACCTCCCTCCCTTCCACCCTTGAAACTCTCTTCATTCATATGATTATTTCAAATATGACTGTCTTATAGTCACTCTATCTTCTAACAAAGCATCTCATATTCTTCTTGTGGAGATGAAGAGAGATGAATTAGGCAAGAATACAATTAGATGGATTCAAAACTGGTTGGATGGCCCCACTCAAAGAGTTATTGTGAGTAACTCAATGTCAATGGCCCAGGAGATCTGCAGTGGGCTGCCCCACAGATCTGGGCTTCACCCTGTGTTATATAACACTTTTATCAATGACTCAGATAAAGGTATAGAGGGCATACTCCTCCAATTTGCAGATGACTCAAAGTTGGGAGATAGTTAACTCACTGGATGACAGAGGCAGGACCCCAAAGGGCCTTTACAGGCTAGGGTGAAATTCAGTAGGAATAAATGTCAGATCTTATACTTGAGTACAATAACAAATTAGCTTTCCATGTATGAGATCAGAAGTCATGATTAGATAAGGTTGTATCTTTCCTGAGGTCCTCTCAAGTTGTCTTACGAGAACAACTGCCATACCCCTTTATTTTTGCGGCTCTATGTTCATTTTGGTATGATGTTCTGTTTGCAGAAGAAATTTGGAGAGCTTGGAAATTTCTGACCCTCCACCACCTTCCCAGAATGCTAGAGAACATAATTTTTCTTTAAAAAAAAAAGTTGAAGGATTTTAGTGGACCATGAGGTCAATGCGAGTCAGAGGTTATGTGGCACCCAAAAAAGCTAATACTATCTTGGGCTTCATTCAGAGAAGCATAGCTTCTAGGAATAGGGAAGTGTTGGTACAAATGTATTCAGCCCTCATCAGCCATCATGTGGAGTCTTGTCCTCCATGGTAGAAGGATTTTGATAAACTGGAGACTATCCAGAGTAAGTGGCCAGGTCGGTAGAAGGTCTTGAGCCCATAATGATCCATTGAAGGAACAGGATAGATCAAAGAAGAAAAGATGGGAAGAACATGATAGCTGTCTCCAAGCATTTGCAGCTTGTTCTGTTTGTCCAAGAAAACACAGCCAGAAGCAAGAAGTGAGCAGCATAAAGAAAGTCATTTAGTTATGATGTCAGGAAAACACTGCCTAAAAGGGAGAGCTTCCCCAAGTGGATTGAGCTTCCTTGAAAGGTGGTGGGTTCTCTTCTTTGGAGATCTTCAGACAGAAGCTGCATAACCATTTGTTGGCCGTGTTATAATGGGGGATTTCTTCCAAGTATGAGTTGAGCTACCTAACCATTGAAATCCCAGCTTTAAAATTCTGTGATTCCATGATTCTCTAGGACCCAAAACGTGAACTCCTGAAAATTCTGAAGTTCCTGGGAAAGGATTTGCCGGAAGAGATTGTGAATAAAATCCTCTATCACACTTCCTTCAATATCATGAAACAGAACCCAACTGCCAATTATACCATGATGACAGAAAAAGAAATGGACCACAGCATATCTCCTTTTATGAGAAAGGGTGAGAGTCTTACAGGAGAACTCATATTCAAAAATATGTAGGATTTGGGGATTGGAAGAGATATGAAAGCCCATCAGTCCAGCCCCCAAATTCCACGAGACTAAATGGACTAATAATAGCAGGAGTGGGAGAGGGAAATAGTAACCATGAGTGGGTTCTTTGTTGTTGTTCAGTCATTTTCAGTCATGTCTGACACTTCATGACCCCATTTGGGACTTTCTTGGCAAAGATACTGGAGGGGTTGGCCATTTCTTTCTCTAGCTCATTTTACAGATAAGGAAACTGAGGCAAACAGGGTTAAGTGACTTGCCCAGGATCACCCAGCCAATGAGTGAGGCTGAATTTGAACTCAGGTCTTCCTGACTCCAGGCCTGGTGCTCTATCCACTATACCACCTAGCTAGGTGGTTTAGAAAAACAATAAGGTGAGGGTAAAAAGAAAAATACAGCTTTAAGGTAATATTCTGTGGCAAACATCTTTACTGCCACAAACGTAACCTGATGGGAAGTTTTCAGGTGAGAACTTTCCCTTCGCATCCGAAGTGAGTATCCCAACCAATGTCTTTCCTGGGATCCTTTACTGAACTGAAACACCTTGGGCTTATGTAATGACTTGGGTTTCCTCACTCAGGAAAGTGTCAGTAACTGTAAGAGAAACAGGAACACGGATAACTGAGGTGTGTGTGCTTCCCTGAGCAGCCTCCTCATTGATAAAGTGAGTAGGTTAAGCTAGATGATCAGCTCAGACCTTTCTGGTCTAAAATTCGATCTTATATAGTTAGTGTACTTTGAGCTAAAGTTGTGGATGGATAAGTGGTTGAAATGGTGTGGGGCTTAGAGTATCTGCTGGGGTTTAGCCTAGCTGAGCTGTGTTCTGTGATTATTGCCCAGAAATTCAATTCAATTCAGTTCAGTAAACACTTACTGAGAGCCTACTGTATTCCAGGCACCATGCTAAGCACTGGGGATACAAAAAGAGGCAAAAGACCATGGTGGGCAGCTAGGTGGCGCAGTGGATAGAGAGTAGAGTCAGGAGGACCTGAGTTCAAATCCGGCCTTAGACACTTGACACTTACTAGCTGTGTGGCCCTGGGCAAGTCACTTAAACCTGATTGCCTCACCAAAAGCAAAAAAAAAAAAAGAGTCAAAAGATAGTCCCCACCCTCAAGGAACTTATAATCTCATGGGAACAGTATAAAAATATACAGTCAGTGGCAAATGCTTTTGCAAATTTGATATGAAAGTACTCAATTTGCATATTTATTAAAATAATGAAGTACCTTGTTGGGATTTGCTAAAATTGGGTTTTCCTAGACAACTAGATAGACCTGGAGTCTAGGACAGAGTACAAGACCTGGAATCACAAAGACTCAAGTTCAAATCCAGCCCTAGACGTTTAATAGCTGTGTGGTCTTGGGCAAGTCACTTAGCCTCCGTCTGCTTCAGTTTCCTCATCTGTAAAATGGGGAAATGGTGGGCAGCTAGGTGGTGCAGTGGATAGAGCTCCAGTCTTGGAGTCAGGAGGACCTGAGTTCTAATGTGAACTGAGACACATGACACTTACTAGCTGTGTGACCCTGGGCAAGTCACTTAACTGTGATTGCCTCCCTCAAAAAAAAAAAAAGCTAAAAAAAAATTGGGGGCAGCTAGATGGCGCAGTGGATAGAGTACCGGCCCTGGAGTCAGGAGGACCTAAGCCCAAATCTGGCCTCAGACACATGATACTCAACTAGCTGTGCGACCCTGGGTAAGTCACTTAATCCTAACTGCCTCACCAAAAAAAAAAATTTAAAAAAAGAAAAGTAAAATGGGGAAATGGGGATAATAATAATAGCACCTACTTCCCACTATTGTTGTGTGGATCAAAAGAGCTAATAATTGGAAATAATTTGTAAAACTAATTTATAAACCTTAAAGTGCTATAGAGGATGCTCTAAAAGTCTTAGCTTTTAAAATTTAAAATATAAAAGGGTATCACAGATACAACAAAGTTACACAGTTACCCACTAATTTGGGGGCAGCTAGGTGGCACAGTGGGTAGAGTGGCTGGGCTAGAGTCAAGAAGATTCATCTTCCTGAGCTCAAATATAGCCTCAGACAGCTCTGTGACCCTGGGCAACTCACAACTCAGTTTCCTCATCTGTAAAATGAGCTGGAGAAGGAAATGGCAAGCTGCTCCAGTGTCTCTGCCAAGAAAACCCCACATGGGCTCATGGAGAGTTGAACAGGACTGTACAACAACAACACACCTATTAATTTCAGGCTTAAAACTGTACTAAGACTTCGGGAATATCCTGTATTAATGCTAAAGACTATTGGAATATCAAATGCTATTATGCTATTAATTTTCTCTGCCATCTACAGATATCTAAGCTACAAAAAAAAAAGATTGAAGAGATTCTTGGTGCAGTGGGGAAAACACTGGGCTTGGAATCAGGAAGATTCATTTTCTTGAGTTCAAATCTAACCTCAGACACTTACCAGCAGTATGACCCTGGGAAAGTCACTTAACCCTGTTGGCCTCAGTTTCCTCATCTGTAAAATGAGCTAGAGAAAGAAATGGCCAACCACTCTGGTATCTTTGCCAAGAAAGCCCCAAATGGGGTCATGAAGAGTCATTCACAACTGACCGACAACAACAAATAAGAGAAAATACCTAGGGCAGCTGCCCTACCTTCCTTAAAAAGCATATTTCATCCCCCTTAATTCTAAAGGATTTGGGTGGAAATCTTGAGGGACTCTTCATATTCAGGATTTCGGTTAAATAAAATTAGCAAGAAAATGAAACTGTCCAGACTTTGAATCCCAGAGTCCTCTCTTGGGTGGCTCAAGAGCTGTCTAAGCCATGATTGCTGATGTAATGTTGAAAAAGCCACAGGAATTATACACCTGGAGAAAATAAAGAAATTTGAGAAACTTGAGAACATGTAAAGCACAGCTCTAAAATCAACATACAACATTTGGGCCATGATTTAGAAAACAGACTAAAAATGGTTTGACAGGAGAGCGACACAGTGGGTTAATTCTCTATCCTTTCTTTTCTGCCAGGGATTTCAGGCGACTGGAAGAATCAGTTCACAGTCGCCCAGTATGAAAGATTTGAAAAACATTATAACCAGCAAATGGAAGAGACCACACTGAAGTTTCGAGCAGAGGTCTGAAGAATGTTTCCCTTCCCTCCAAAGCTTTCAGATACTTTGCAGGAGAAAAAACACCTATTAAACACTTAGTGAAAATACGTGAGTTTCTGCGGTTGTCTAGCTTAGTAATTTGCATATACATGCATACACACACACACACACACACACACACACACACACACACACACACATATATATGTAAAATTCAGGAAAAAGTCCTAAAACAACTATATATCAGAGGATATCAAGAATGATAGTCCAAGATTTCCTAGTAAACTGCCCAAGGGTTTGAATTGTCTTAAAGAATTAAATCAAGAAATGAGACAAGAATTTTGAAAGCATGCAATTACATACCTTCCTATTATCAGAGTTGTAACTAGAGTTGGACAGGTGGGGCTTTGTCCAAGAGCAATGAAATCTAGAAGGTTTAAAAAAATTGTAAATGATGATTTTAAAAGACTACAATCATGGACTCTAGCAGAATTAAAACACACCTCAGTAGCAAAGATTATTAGTTCAAAGTGGAAGATACCAGAAGGTAGAATATGTGCCCCAAATGAGTTCCTTCTTAGCCTGGCCACACCAAGTTCCCAGTCAAGGTGGACACCTAAATACATGCTACAATCTGCCTGCAACAAAATTCCTTGTGTCCGTGTGTCTCTTCTACTCAACTGACTTTGTCTTAATTCTCTCCTACCTTGTTTTTGTATCACATTTTATAAAGTTTATTTGAGGTCTCCTTTTGATCTGCTTGCCCCAGACATCAAAACTGCTAGTTACAGCTCTGTGATGCCATGTTTCTTCATGATTTAAACGTATAGGCAGTAGAAAGGCCTAGATTATGGGTTCTTGATCACAGAAAATCTCAGCACGACGGAGGCTTTGGATTTCTGAGGCCTAGAAACAACCTTGATCAAAACTAGCTCACTAACTCCTCATTGTCTCCTTCCATAAGAACTGGGATGTACCAAGTCAACGCTACGTTTTTAACTGAGTCTATACAAGAGAAGCACTAGATAGATTCACCCTCAGATGGCCCAATAATCTATATTACAGCAAATCAAGATGACTGCATCAAAGTCTTGGAACAATTCAGTATTTTGGTAATCCCTCTCTCCAATGGATACATTTTATATAATGAGGGTATAAAGTAATATCAGGGGCAGCGAGGTGGCGCAGTGGATAGAGCATCTGCCCTGAAGTCAGGAGGACCTGAGTTCAAATCCAGCTTCAGACCGAACACTCTGACACTTACTAGCTGTGTGACCTTAGTCAGGTCATGTAACTCCAATTGGCTAAAATAATAATACTGGTAATAAAATAATATCAAAAAAGCAACAAATAAATATAGTGAACAAATGCCAAAAATGACAAGATTCACTTGGAATACGTCTTTCAGAAACTATTTAGTGAGCATTTGTCATCCCTTTTAATCAAATTAGCTAATCTTTACTGAGCAACTGCATTGTGTGAGACTGTACTAGTCCTGTGCCAGGCACCACACGGGATACAAAAATGTAACTTGTGGTCCCTGCCCTCAAGAAGCTTACAGTCTTCTTGGAGAGGCAAAGCATACGAAGCAGTAAAAGAACAAAGGCAAAATGATGGGGGAGTAATGGAAGTTCAGGAAAAGGACCACTCTATTCCCCTTTCCAAAGATTCAGACTATTCACGTTTAATTCCAAGGCAGGCCCCTTTCCACATGAAGAGATTGAAGGGGATTCCCTTTTTCAATACTAACTACAAAGGTTGGAATGGAAGTGGGGCCAGTGGTCTAGGGCAATGCTGTTGCTGAAATGCTAGGGCTTGGGGCAGCTAGGTGGTGCAGTGGATAGAGCACCAGCCCTGGAATCAGGAGGACCTGAGTTCAGATCTGGCCTCAGACACATAATACTTCCTAGCTGTGTGACTCTGGGCAAGTCACTTAACCCCAATTGCCCCACAAAAAAAAAAAAGAAAGAAATGCTACAGTTTACCTTTTCATTAGTGGCATTTAGACAGCAGTTGGCAGTGGGTTTGGCAGATTTGGTGGGCCCATTCTCTACAAGAATTTCTTCCATCAATGATAATTTCAGGAGTCAATATAACTCAAATACAATAACCATTATTAAGCACCTACCATGTGCCAGGCACTGTGCTAAATCCTAGAACAAGTCACTAAGCAAGAGGAGTGGTCAAGAGCCCCAAGCACACTGGGGTCGAAATGGAGAAAGACCACAGCTGCAATCATGTGTGGGAAGCAAGGGAGATAGCACCAAGCCCTTCTGCCACCACTGCCACATCCAAGCGGCTTCCACCACTGGGCAACCAGAGGTTAAAGTGGGCATAAGCTTCCCTCCAATTTAACTAAAAAAAGGTCACAACTTGGCAATTGAGAAATCTTTGGCAAATTTAGAGAAGGCTATTTCAGTTGAATAATGAGGCAGAAAACCAGACAACAGAGTTAAGAGGCGAGCAAGATGAAAGTTGAGGCACTGACTGAAATGGCTTTCTCAAGGAGCTTGGCCATGAAAGGGAGACAAGATACAGAAAGAAAGGTAGTAGAGATGGATGGATCAATTGAGGGTTTTTTGAGGATGAGGGAGACATGGGCATGTTTATAGGCAGCAGGAACACAGCCAGTAGAAAGGGAGAAATTGAAGATAAGTAAGAGAGTGGGGATGACAGAGGAGGCAACCTGCTGGAGAAGACAGGATGGAATGGGGTCACCTGTGCAGGTAGAGGGGTCTGCCTTGGCAAAGAAAAGCGACATTTCTTCATGTGAGAAAGGAGAGAAGGAGATAGTAGAGGAAGGCAATTGCAATGAAAGAAATGGAGCAAAATGAAGAGAGAAAAAGAGTGAGGTAAATGATCTCAATTCTTTTTTGATGAAGTATAACACAAGCTCCTTAACTGAGAGAGTTGGAGGAGGGGTGCCATGGGGGCTTAAGGAGAGATGAAAAAGTTTGGATAACTGTTGTGGTGAGTTGGATAGGAATAAATTAAGAAGGTGTGAAAAATTGATAAATAAACAAAGATGCCTGGCTATAGCAAGTCCCCAGATGAGATTATATAACATAAGTTTACAATGCGCCCAATCAACAGTTTTGTGCTTTTTCTCCAGCTCCACTTGTAATGCAGAACATTATTTTACCATTTGGGTAGTAGAACCCTTTAGGCCATGGAAAACTCCAAATTCCTTAGCAAGACCCATATCTGGCTGCTCAGGCTCCAGCCCTCAGATCATATCTCTGGAAACCTCCAAATTCCTTAGCAAGACCCTTATCTGGCTGCTCAGGCCACAGCCTTCAGATCATATCTCTGGAAGCCTCCATTGTGAGAAAGTTTGCACAGCATTATCATATCTACACAGAGGGAGAAGGGTGTCCTTGACCAGCCCCCAAAAAACCTCTTCCTCTTGCCAGACTTCAAAGATCCATCCCCCTCCCTGTCCTGTATACTCCCTATATAAACCCTAGCTCAACCCCTGATGGGGGCTGCTTGATTTGGATGTGAATATCCCTGGCAGCCGCACACTAATAGCTAATAAAGTCCACAATTTAAAATTAGCTTGGGTGGTCAACTCGCTCATTTCTCGGTATAACACACTCAAGAGCAGGTCAGTGGCAGTGAAGGTTGCAAATGGTGGTAGTAATACAAAGTTGAAGCTGGCAATGCATGCTTGATGACAAGATAAGGGGGCAAGGGTGTGGTCCTGAATTGGTTTACTGAAGGTTTGAGAAAGGAAGGGGAGCAGAATGTAGCTAAAGCTTAGGTGATAATTGGAGAAAACACTGAAGGGTGTAGAGATTGAAGGTCACAGTGAGAATGAGAGCTGCTTTCCCTGCCTCAAGTGTCTTCCATTCTCCATTCAAAAGTCATGATGTGCCCAAAGTCTGGGTCTGACCATATAACCTCACCCCACACAGAGTACACTTCAGTGTCTCCCTTATCTACCTCCAGGATAAAGTCTTCTGTTTGGCTTTTAAAGCCCCTCTCATCCTTATGCTTTCCTACTTCTCCAGTTTTTTTACAGGTTAGTTCCTTCCAAGCACTTTCTGAACCTGCTACAACAGCCTTCTTTCTGTTCCTTGCACAAGATAACTCTATATTCTGATTCTATGACTTATCACTGGCTGTCTTCTATGCACAAAATGCTCTTCCTTCTCTTCTCTGCTTCCTGACGTCCTAGGCTTCCTTCAAATTTCACCCCAAACCCCATCTTGTGAAAAAGAGCTTCCCCTTCTTCCTCAATGCTAGTGCCATCCCTTTAAGAGTAAACCTCCCATTTATTTTATATATAGATACATATATAATATACATAATATACAAACATACATACAAAGAGAGAAAAACCAGGAAGACTTATGTGAACTGATACAAAATGAAGTGAGCAGAAACAGGAGAAGAATGTACATAGTAACAGCAAAATTGTATGATGATCAACTGTGAATGACCCAGCTATTCTCAGCAATCCAAGACAATTCCAAAAGACACGATGGAAAATATTATCTACTTCTAGAGAAAGAACTCATGGTGTATGAATGCAAATTGGAGCATATTTTTTTTACTTCCTTTATTATATTTACTTGTTTTGGTCTGTATTTTCTTTTGCAACATAGCTAATATAGAAATGTTTTATATGACTACACATGTATAATGTATATTAAATTGCTTGCCTTTCCAAGGAGGGAAAGGGGGGAGGGGGATTTGGAATTCAAAATTTTTTTAAATGAATGTTAAAGGGGCAGCTAGGTTGAGCAATGGATAGAGCACAGGACCTGAGTTCAAATTTGGCCTCAGACCAAGCATTTGACACTTACTAGCTGTGTGCTTCTGGGCAAGTCACTTAACCTCAATTGCCTAAACAATTTTTTTAATTAATGTTAAAAGTTTTTGTTTACATGTAATTGAGAAAAAATAAAATGAAAAATGAAAGAATTAAAAATAAAGAAATAAGTATTTTTATACATATAGATTCATCTTTCTTTAATCACTTTGAAATATAGGCCTAGAAGCAATGTAACTGCCTCAAACAGTAGGCACAGCTTCATACTTTGGAGACATAATTGTAGCAATGAGCTAATCTTACAAAATAATAATTGCCTAAATGTGTGAATAGGAAGTGGGGGGTGCATTTTTCATCATAAGTCCTTTGGAATTGTCTTGGACCATTGTATTGCTGAGAATAGCTGAATCATTCAGAGTGATTATCTTACAATATTGCTGTTATCTCCTGGTTCTGTTCACTTCACTTTGTATCAGTTCATATAAATAGAGAGAATTTGGAACTCAAAAATTTTTTTTAATTAATGTTAAAATTTTTGTTTACATGTAACTAAGAAAAAATAAATGAAAAATGAAAGAAATCAAAAAATAATTATTTCTATACATATAGATTCCTCTTGGGGGTAGCTAGGTGGCCCAGTGGATAGAGGACCTGGATTCAGGAGGACCTAACTTCAAATCCGGCATCCAACACATAACACTTACTAGCTGTGTGACTCTGGGCAAGTCACTTAACCCCATTGCCTAACCAAAAAAAAAAAAAGTGCTGCTAGATTCTTCTTTCTTTGATTTCTTTGGAATAGAGGACTAGTAGCAGTATAACTGCCTCAAACAGTAGGCACCTAAATGTGAGTGGGGAAGAGGGCATATATGGAACCATTCCAAGTAATGGGTGTTTGAACAGGGGTCCTGTAATGCTATCATCTTCACACAAAGGACTGGCTTTAATACAGCCATCTAGTGAGGAAGGGGGCCACCTCCAGGCATCCTGATCTAAATCTTGCCACTGGACTCAGTTGGTTCCACAGGAGAAAATGAGACTGGTGATTGCCCAGCTCTGCCTCTCTTAAATCCAATTCACTTGCAAGTCATGATATCACCTTCCTGATGTCACAGTCCCCTTCAAGAACGAAAGACAAATAACAACAAAAACCAGTGAGGAAGACATAGATGGGCCAAGTGTCCTCCAGTCCCCTCAGATAGTACTATAGAAATATCACAAAGTTCAGGTAGGGTGGACCTGCCCTGTTACATTCACCACTGTATTTTTTTTTCCTCCAGCCAGCAGCAAGAAGACATTATAAAGAAAACATTTGTCCAATCTTGCTCATTAAAATTGTAATGTTTTATTTCTTCCTTGGCTCCCTGCCCAAGGCTCTGCACTCACTGTTGTAAATTAGTTCTCAGCCAACTAGCCTTTGCTGTTGTGTGTTCAGGAAACTCTTGCTCAACTCTAGATTTTAACTCCTTATACAGCAGCCAGTGCAGAATTTGCCCACTTCTGTTTTCTCTTCCTGGTAAGTCTTTGATGGGGAATGTGGAATATTTGTTTTCTTCCTGTTCTGGTATCTCCTTGTAAAACCACATCCATAGGCCAACTCTACCCTTCAATCATTACCATGGGCTTTTCCCCAAATGGTTCGAGGGTTTCAAAGGGGATGATAGATTCGTGCCAGGAACACTCTTATCTCTTCAGGGTGGAGTGGAACTTGACCACAGGGATTGAGTTGTCAAGAACAGAAGTGTGACAGGCTGCAACCTGAAGAGAAGGGAAGGAAGGCTTGTCTGTTGGGAAAAGATTGAATATTTGATCCAGAGGGTAAGTCTTTTTATTCTCACCCAGGAATTTCTTCACTGTATGCCTGAGTTTTTTAAACACCCATGCTGTCAGATGTAGGATTCTGTAGAACACAGAACATCTGGCATTGGAGAAGCTGGATTAAAATCTGGGCTCCTCTACTATTTCCACAATCTTTGACAAATGTGGGAGGATTGGACTGAATCAAAGATTCCCAATCTTTGGGCCCCAGAATTTTTGCAATAAGTACATATCTAGGCAAGTACTAAATCATTTAATGGATATCCACTGCACATCTACTATTATGTGGAAGGGTTTAATTTGAAAAAGAGATCCCTCATGCTAGAAAATATTGGAATGATTTCTAAAGTCCATTCTAGCTATAATTTGAATTAATTAATTGGACTAGATACATCAAGTAACCTTGACACAAAGTGCCTGAATTTTTCTAGCTAGAAGGGATTATTCAATTTATCATATAAATAAAGGAACAAAACTCAGGAAGGAAATGATTTCTCACATATGCAACTGAAGCACTTTGGGCATAAATGATTAGTGGCAGTCAGGACTAGAACTCGGGTGTCTGGGGTCCTAGAATTTTTCTGTTCTACCGCACTGTATAATATATGATACTGTATTAAAATATGTAAATATATGATATTCAAGTTTCAATCCAAATCCTATCTTCTGAAAAAGAACCTTAAAATATATGATAGTTATTTTAGACATTGTCTTTACTCTGTATCTCTTCATGCTCATCTCACATTTCTTTGTATTCTTTACATTCATCATTCTTTGCAGTATAATCAGCCACTTACTAATCCTTGGGCAGACATTTTATTTTCAGGGGGTTTTTTTTATTACAAATAATGCTGCTGTGGACACCATTGAATGCATGGGTTCTTTCTTGCTGCTATTAATCTCCTTGGGGCAGAATCCAAGGAATGGAATCTCTGAGTCAGAGGATATGAATGATTTGTAACTTTTCTTGCATAATTCCAAATAATTTGCCAAATGGTTTGTGATGAGGGCGGGGCCCAAGCCAAGATCTTCACCCTTTGCCCTAAAGGGAATCTGGCTCCCCTTTTGTCTACAGACCCCAGCTCTTATCTCCCCTTGAAAGCCCTAGCTTACCTTTAGATCTTATTCAGATGCACCTTCAACCCTTGCCCAGAATAGAATCTGGCTCTTGTCTATAGGCCCCAGAAAGGCCTTCCTTTATCTCCTTTTGAAAGTCCTAGCCCCACCTTGATTTTGTGCAGATGTCTTTCAAACTTCTGCCTTCCTGTTCCTCCATTATCTATTCCCATTGTCTATTCAATCTCACTGACCTCCCCAATTAGAATTGTTACCTACACCCTTTACCCAACCCCCTTCTCTGGCCACCCAAAGTTACTTTAGTATTTAAGATCCACCTTGGCCCTCATTCAGATGCTGAGAATCTCACGCTCAAAAGGCTGAGAACCTCTCATGCCCGCTCATCTTTATGGGTGTCACCTGGCCTATATGTTTTATCACTAATAAACTTTTCCTCTGGCTGAAGAAGATTTGAGTTGAATTCTTTCAGGCAGGGCCCGGTACCGCAATCTTGGGGTCCCAGCACCCCAAAACCCCTGGACCTCTTCAGTTTGGACCAATTTATACCTCTACCAACATTGAAATATGTGCGTGCTCCAGGATTTATAGCTTTCCCAGCATTGAAATATCTGTGTGCTCCAGGACTCTCTTCACTACCCCTACAACAGTCCCTTTCCTTCTTTCTGATTTGAAACTAATTAAAAATACCACCACCAACACCCTTCCAACACACCCACCAAGGTGCCTCTTTTCCCCTACCATTTTTTTTCACAGTACTCAGCTCAGTCCTTGGGCTGTAAAATTCCTGAAGCCAGTCCTATACATTTGTGTCACACTTGAGTATTTGTTCTTATTAAAACATCCCTCTTTCACCTTTGCTACACATCTTTTAAAATATAAGCTAAGCAGAGGACTTATAGCCTGAGCCCCGGTTCTTCTAGGATTTAAACATTGGCATTGTATTGAAAATTAAATGAAGAAACCCCTCACTCCATTCCCAAATGTCAGATGCTCCTATTTTCTTTTCTCCCATTTTAGACTCTTAGGGAAACTTTGGTGTAAAAAATGTGACCTAAGCACCTCAGCCTCCAGCCAAATGGAAGCATTCCAAGAATAGGGTTTTGAAGTGCTGAGAATGGAATTCATAATGTCACATTTCCTTCAGAACAGCTTAGCCCCCTCAATCTTGAAAACAGGAAAGAATGTCTCTATTGTGATCAGATTATAAACAATTTGAACTGATCCACATCAAAAAGCACTAGGCTGTAGGAGTTCCAAGTTTCAATAAAAGTCCCAGGCTCTTTGGGGGTCCCATATTGCAGTGATTTAATCAGGAGCTCCTGATTTTGTTCCCCTGTTTCCCAGCTGTAGCTTGTCCTTAGAATCCATTCTAGTCCTTAGGTGCCCCTACTACCCTCTGAAAAGCAGAACAGAGCAGAGCTTATGTTGATCTCGGATCCTTGGAATGACCCATGGACTGATGTGCCCACTGGCATTTCCTTTTTTCTTTCCTTCCTGGGAAAGGCAGGGTAGCAGAGTTGAGAGATAGGGCCATCATTGGAATTAGAAAAACCTGAACTAGAATCCTGCCTCTGACATACTAGTTATGTGGCCATGGACAAGTCACTTGACATCTCAGGGTGCTAGGCTAGCTGGTGGCACCATGGACAGAGCACTAGACCTAGAGTCAGGAAGTTGTTTTGTTTTATTGTGTTTCAGCCATTTCTGCCTCTTTATGACTCCATTTAGGGAGTGGAGTGGCTTGTCATTTCCTTCTCCAGCTCATTTTATAGGTGAGGAAACTGAGGTAAACAGGGTAAGTGTCCCATGGTCAGGAAGACCTGAGTTCAAATCCAGCCTCAGGCACTTCTTAACTGAGTGGCCCTGGGCAAGTCATTTAACCTCAGTCTGCTTCAGTTTCCCCAACTGTAAAATAGGGGCAATAACAACACCTACCTCACAGGGTTGTTGTGAAAATCAAAAAAGGTAATATTAGTCAAGGTGCTTACCACAGTGCCTGTTCTCTTCCGTTCTTCTGCCTAAGGTTGTCATAGAGAAGTTACTGATCACACTGAGAGCTCCTTACACCGATGAAATAACTTCACTGGAAAGCTCCTCCTCAAAAACAATTTCCTGCATCTGAAAAGGCTGACTTACCAATTAATTATGAGGTTTAAATACATTCAAAGTGCTGCTACAGTAATATATGGTGTCTGGATTTTATTTTTTCTTTCTAAAACATCTTCACAGCCGAGATTCTTTAGGAGGCTTTTCCTGAGCCCATTAATTAGTTATTGCAGCTCTCTCTCTCTCAAAATTTACTTGTATTACTTTTTAAAATAAATTTTATTCATGTCTTTTGTTTTTACATCACCTAAATTTCTTCTGTAATCCTCTCTCTTCTCCCAGAGAACCTTTTCAGATAACAAAGAATATTTTTTAAAAGAAAAAGGAGAATTTTTTTAAAAATCAGCAAAACCAATTAAATTCTTTAGAAAAATCTCATACTACATGCAAAGTTAAACATCTGCGGACTCTCACTCTGAGAAGAAATAGAAGTACCTTGTCTTATCTATTCTTTGGTGCCGAGTTTGAACTTTGTAATTTTGCAACATTTATTTTCAATAGTTTTGTGGTTGTTATTCTTTTCATTTACATTGTTATTGTCATTGTGTATACTGTTTCCTTGATGCTGCTTACTTCGGTTCGCATCAGTCCATGTAAGTTTCTTTATACTTCTTTATATTAATCTTATTCTTCATTTCTTACAGCAAAAGAATATTCTGCTGCATTAATGTACCATGAATTCTTTTTATGTACTTTGGGTTGAGTTTTGTTTTTGTTTTTGTTTTTTTGCTAATCTGTATATGTGCCATTCCCCACAACCCCAGTTTTAAAGGATTTTAAAGGTAAACAGAAAAGTTTATACATACTACTACAGGTCAAAAGGTAACACTGAATTTCAAGTAGTGGAGTGTCCTGGTTAGATCTACACTTAAGCTGAAATCACTTTGATAGCTGTGTTGAGGATGGATTGGAGTTAGGTACAAACTTGAGTCAGGAAGGATAATTAGGAGGCTGTTGTAATAAAGGTAATGAGAACATAAACTAAGGCAGTGGGTTTAAATGGAGAAAAGGGGTCTGATGTAAGAGATGTTGTAAAGAAAGAAAAAACAAGATTTAACAACTGATTGAATACGTTGTCTACAAGAGACACACTTGAAACAGAAAGACACACACAGAATTAAAAATAAAGGGCTAGAGCAGAGTGTATCATGCTTCAGCTGGATTTTTAAAAGGCTGGGGTAGTAATCATGATCTCAGACAAAGCAAAAGCAAAAATAGACCTACTTAAAAGAGATAATCAGGCAAATTACATTTTGCTAAAAGGTACCATAGACAATGAAGTAATATCAAAAAAAAATTTTACAACAACTTTCTCTGATAAAGGCCTCATTTTTCAAATATATAGGAAACTGAGTCAAATTTATATAAATAAGAGCCATTCCCCAACTGATAAATGGTCAAAGGATGTGAACAGGCAGTTTGCAGAAGAAGAAATCAAAGTTATATGTATTCATATGAAAAAATAAATCACTGTTGATTAAAAATTCAAATTAAAACAACTTTAAGGTGAAGCTAGGTGTCACAGTGGATAGAGCACTGGCCCTGGAGTCAGGAGGACCTGAGTTCAAATCTGCTCTCAGACCAGACACTTGACACTTACTAACTGTGTGACCCTGGGCAAGCCACTTAACCCCAACTGCCTCAGAAAAAACCACTCTAAGGTACCACCTCACACCCATCAGCAACTGTTGTTGTTTATTCTTTGATTTTTTTCATTTAAAACTGATTATTCATGTCTTTGATCATTTATCTACTGATGAATGGGCATTGCCTCAGACAAACTGAGACCTGGGAAAGATCAGCAATTACAAATGCTG